TAGGGTAAATGAAATTCCTAAGGTAAAATGAATTCCTGGTTTCTTTTTTCTTTTTCTTTTTTTTTTGAGACCGAGTCTCACTATTTACTTCAGGTCTGTCCTGAACTTGCTGTGTTGTGCAGGCTGACCTTCAACTCATAGCAATGAGTGGCCTCAAGCTCCTACCTCAGGGTCAGGGGGATGGCTCAGTAGAGTAAGTGCTTGCCTAGCAAGCGCAAGGGCCTGAGATCAATCCCTGGTTGCACAAAAAACAAAACAACAACAAAAAAACCAAAAACACCTCCTGCCTCAACTTGCTGAGTGCTGGGACCATAAATGTGCATCACCCAGGTATACCAGCACCCAGCACCATGTGCTTGCCAGGCAGAAGCTTATGCCTCTGAGCTATATCCCCAGCCATATTTCATCTTATTTGATAAAGCACTGAACCTAGAGCCTTGCATATGCTAAGCACATGTTCTACCACTGAGCTCTACTGTAGCCCCAGAGGAGGGAGATATATATATATATATATATATATATATATATATATATATATATGATTAAATTCAGGACCCTGCGCTTGCCAGGCAGGTGCTTATTCTATGAGCTATCTCCCCATCCCTGTATATTTGTATTTTTTATAATGCATACATTTGCATTGCAATGGATCAAATCCAGGGCCTCACACATGCTAGGCAAGGATTCTACTGCTGAGCTACATCCCCATTCCTGAGGCAGTATATTTTTATATTGAAAAATCAAAGAAGATGTAGCCATGGACATCTATAATCCCCGAAGTCCGAGTGGCTGACACAGGAGGAACAGGTCACAAGTTGAGCTTAGTCTTGGTGGCTCAGTGAGTGAATTAGTGAGACACTGACAACAATTTTTATAAAAAGTCTGGGCATGAGCCACGGAGATTGCTCAGTGGTCTAAGCACCTGCCTAGGCAAGCGCAAGAACTCGGGTTCAGTTCCCTATAGCACATGCCATGCCAGCTCCCCCTCGGGCATGGCCAGCAGGCCACCAAGAGTGGGTGAGGAGGTGGCACAGGCCTGTAAGCCCACACTGGGGAGACTAAAACCACAGGATCACTGAGTCTGAGAAGGAGCTGTGTACCAAATACATAAAATAAAATGGCTGGGCAGGTAACTCTGTGAATGCCCTAGGTTCAATCCCTAGTATAGCTCAGTGACACAGTGCCTGCCCAGCAAGCACATGGTCTGGAGTTTGACTCCTGGTACCCAACAAACAATCCCTAGTGCTAAAAGGTTTTGGACTGCTAGAGCTCCTTCTGGAGGTTTCTAGGTTCTTCCTGTCCTGAGCAAAGAACTGGTCAAGACAAGTACAAATGGCAGGTAGCAAAGTTTTATTTATTTATTTATTTTTA